GGGGCGGCCACCCGGTACACACATGTAAGTTCTCTGTGCGCGTCGTAATAATTATACAGATTTATTCGAACGGGCCCGGATCGCAACGGGTTAACAGCATGCGCGCGTGAACTGGTTAAGAGTTCCGGGGAATCGTAACGTCGTGCATCGGGTATCTCGCCAAGGGTCGAAGAGTCACACCTTTCATTTCCTCGGCTGTAACGTGTAATTTACCACTTTGAGCGGGAAAACAAGAATCGTACGAGGAACCGACCATAAACGGTCGTCTATAAGTATACACTTGGCTGAGATGTATCTATTTTCAAAGCGAGCGTTAATTCTCCCCTACAAATTTCGCTCACAATTGCGGTTATCCTACTGATCGATTGTATATTACATTACAAACGGAAGAAGGCGGTAAAAGATTGGCGTTTTGGATCGACATCGCAAATCTCTTAGTCTCGCAAAATGGTTGAAAGTCAAGAAAAACTACTTACGTAAACAAAATATATTTACACTGAGAAAAAGAAATTAAAAGTTCATTTATGAGATATAATATTTATTTCACTGAAATAAATCTTTATGTAAATACAACGAAATCAAATTTTATTCCAGTAAATGAACTCTATTATATTTTTTATTAGATATATCTCATAGAGAAATGTGTGTTTCGTCATCATAGTCAAATTCTTTTATAGTTAATAAATATTGAAAAAAAAAACACTTTGTAACAGTATAACATTTGTGGTTGCGAATAATTGGACTTTTTTTCTATAAGTATAAAAAAGCAATTATACCGTATTAAAGTGATTAATAAAATCCGCTGCTACCGATCTCAACCTGCCTTTCCATCACTGTATTTGTAATTTTTTTTCGTAGTAGGGCGGAAATGGTTCGCCATTGCGGCGCAACAACATAACCGACGAACGCCAATGGGACCTGCTTCTATCTACGCGCGCATAAAGAATCTTTTCGCAGCAACCTGCGCGAACGCGCGATTACCCGTGGTATCGGCGTGAAGGGCGCCGGGTTGTTCTCTCGTTGGGATTCACACGCACAAGACATACTACGTCGACAAACAAAAGCGGGGTAACTTAGCGCGCCTAGTATTCCGTATAATTTATCCGCCACGTAACGAAGGTAGGAAGAAAGAAGCGGAATTCTTTGCCGGAACCGCCGCCGGTAGCTACCGGAATAACCGGATAAAATGCAGGTTCTCTCGATCCTCTCTTGCTTTTTTTCCTTCTTACTCTCGCTGATCTAGAACGACGAGAAAGGGTTGTCCGCTGAGAGACAGATAACCGCGTGGAAGGGCGTCTTTATGTGCAGGTAGATGATTCGTCGACGACCGGTGCACGATTCATTCTCGGTTATCTCTCTTTCTCTCATTCTCTCTTTCTGTTTTGAATTTTCGAGATGTGTTGAGATGGAGGTAACCCCCGTAGGGTGCGCGTTTCCTCGTAAACCGCCATGAGAAGAAAACGTCGATCGACCCCTTCGTGTATATTTGCGTGACAACAAGAGAGAAGATTGTGGCTTTTAATTTAATGCGATGCATCGGAAACGGCAGGTAGGCCGTGACGGTAGGACGGCCGCAGATTGTAAATTAAACTCATCTGTCCTCGGGATCACAGGTCAAGGAACAGAGTGAGAGAAATGTACTTTAGACGTATAGGTGTTATATTTTCATTGGATCTTGTAATAATAAATTAAATATCACTTGAGGATATAACTTCATTCAAAGCTGTAAATCTTTCTTAATGAATTGTGACAGGCAATTATTAATCTGAGGCGAGAGTTTAATTAAATCGTAGAAATTACCGTTTCTTATTTTCATGATATAAGCGAAAGGTACTGAATGGCACGATATGGTCTTGAAATTAACTGGGATCACGATCCGCCCGAGGTCGAAGTCAGTGCACCGAGCGTGCGCATTTATTGCACTCGCTCCCTTTGATCGGCGGTGCATCGGCACGCACTCGATGTATGTATTTGTACTTGACGTTGTGTTTGTGGGTGTCGATGAGATAAGCGTGGCAGCAGGTAAGGAGACAACAACGAGTGATTCGCGCTGTTCTATCGCTAGCAAATAGTTCCTTCAGGATCGTGGCTGTCTCGCTTATCGGCAGGCAAATCGAATTCTGTCTTGACTAACGATCGTATAAATTTACAGTGCGTACAACAGCAGACTGGATCGTTTCAGTCAATACGTCGGGCGCGCCTGATGACGACATGACTCTGTAAATAGTGAGTGTTTGATTAATTTACACGTAATTAATGGAATAAAAGTTTTGAAAGATTAATCACATAGTTTTTTAAGATTACGATAGATATATTCATTCTGGAAACTTTCCGTACGTCTTGTATATTCAAAATTTAGGAAACCGTTAGATAATAATATTAACTTTAATCTTGAGATCTGTTCTTTATTCCTGCACTCTCTATACCGTGTGCACCAATTTAGAGATTGTAAGAATAAAAAAAACAAATTTTTTGTTTAATTTGCTTTGTATCCTTTCTGAATTTGTAGAATAAGAGAAAAATAAAGAGAGGATGTTAAACCGAGATTAATTAAAATCAATCTATATTGGTAGAAACGGGCGTTATATTTCATGAAATAATATTTTTCGAATTTCGACTTCAATCTATACATTTTTTACACGGCAATAGAATCGCAATATGCCATAACCGCCGTTGTTATTATCAATGCATAGAGTTGGATGCAGAATCGTTTCAAGTTCAACGCACTGTGCGCGTGCCGCATTTGGAATGTGCCGTTAAGCGAAGTGAAATGCGTCGCGCGTGGCAATTGCGTGTAATATTGATATTGTAATGCAAAGCGAAGCGAGTGTAAATATATATCGACGGTAGCGAGGACGTTTCTCCTGTCGAGACAAACGGTTAATAACACGCGCGCTCGTAGCGTATCGGTTACCGAGATTTTATCATGAAATTCTGTCAGGGTGCACGTACACGACGCCGCCGTCTCCGCCTTTTCCTCTCTCGCTTTCGTCTCTGCGTATACAGTGTTTCTCCTTCATTACGAAATAATACGAGAAAATGATTGGTCGCGCGCACGCTTAGCGAACATAGCAAAAGAATACAGCTTTATGCGAATGAACTGTTTATGACGACAAGTACAAAGGTCCTGTGTCAAAAATTGCTTCGCTTTCGTTTCCTAGCCGATGCGTGGAGACCATACCGATCTCTTGTCTCGATTATTATAATCGGTTGATACGAATGATTTCGTTTCACTGATGATAATCTTTGCCTATAATAATGATCTATGATTTTATCTGAAATAAATGCATCTAAAGTATTTGACGATTATAAAAACTCTCGTAAATACTGAAATTTGTAGATGATATCCTCTTTGTTTTCATCGAAAAAACTAAACACATTGCTTTTTACTTTTTTTATGAAGTATTAGAAAACAGTCATGTATACATTGATGACGATACCTATAACAAGAAATGTATAGAAAATTTTAACAAGAAATGTATAGAAAACACATCTATTGATCTTATCTTATTTTTGTACAAATTATAAAGGTAGAAAAAAGAAAGTAAATCGACGTAGGAAAGTTTTTACCTACGTCGAAGGACAAATAGAAAAACGTGGTCGAAGAACGTTACCGATCTTTTTGTGCGTGCCGACCACGTGACCGACTCTCAAACGGAACGCCGCGTGCTTTTCCTTTCGCGCAAAAATGGCAGGCAATCTAACGTGAATCTGCCGCTCGCGTATATGGGGGGACAGGGTGCTCGCGCGAGTACGCGTGCCCCAGTGCACACGCTCAGAGAGACGCACGCGCGTGTGTAGGTTCTCAGCGCGCGTGGGCGATGCTGTGGCACGCGACACGACCGTTACACGTTCGGGCTGGCAACGTGGGTCGACGCGGTAGAGGGGGGTGAAATTCAGAAGGGGAACAAGAGGTGGATTGCAGCGCTCGCACGTACATATACACACACGAGACGCAATACGCACATATCAGGTAGGGGGACACAAAACAGCCGACGCGACAACCACTCTCGCACAAAGAGCGAGAGAAAGAACGGAGTTCAGGTAGGCCGAATGGAAATTCGAATAAAAAACGCGAGTCGCCGAGCTCTCGCGCGGAGGGGGTCTAATGTACCCATACGCGCGCGCGAACGCGAATCCCCGATACATGTGTGTGTGCGCGAGGAGAGGGTCTCCTAAGAGGGGTCACAGCATCTGCTCCTACTACAGAATAACACAACGTACACACACGGAACTTGCGGAGCGTGTAGCGTGAGAGAGAAGGAGAGAGAGAAAGAAACGGTGGTAGGAATGGAGAAAGAAGGACGACGTATAGAGCGTAGCGAACTATCGCGTTGCACTCACGAACATCCTGCACCTCCCGCCGTTGTCTGCTAACGGTGGGGGACAATTGGTGGAACATATCCCTGGTCGATTGGCTGGTGGCCCGCGACCGTCCGTCCCCCATTGGCAAGTAACGAGGGGCCCGCGGGCCCGTATTGGCTCGACAGCACGTGCGGGCCACCTGCAATTCGTTGGTGGGGCGACCTGTTATAAGAGGCCCTGACTCAACCCCCTGCCAGTCAGAGACCGGCTTGCAGCCGTAACGTTCTGAGCCGTACTCCCTGTAGAACATTCCTTGCGTTTCTCTTTCGTGTTACACGCGAGTCAACACTTATCCGAGTCTCCCAATCGCGGTCAGTTGTATTCGGATGAGCGTGTGGTGAAGATTAATCTTATTACTCTTTGAAGGAAGATCGAAGTGCCGTTTCTTCTTTTAAAAGGAGTAGGCTTTTGACTTATATATGTGTGAAATAACAGTGCAGTGACATTACCACGTATTATTGCCTTGCGAGATTTCGGCAAGGCTGTGTTTATTGGATTAACACTCTAAATGACGGATATTCGTACGAGAGGAGAAGGAAGAGTGAGGATGCTATAAGCGTCTTTGCAGTGGCATAGCGTCAATAAATCAGAAAAACGTTTTAAGTGCCTTTACGCAATATCAAAACAGTGCCAAAATGCTTGTCGACGAGGTGCCGCACAGCTTCATGAAGAAGAATTACAATTACAGTCATTGTCCGTTAAAGAAACGGCCGTTTTATTACACATCCGAGGATGAAGAAGAAGTTCCCGAAGCGATTAAAGGTTTCAAAATTATTTCTTTATTATCACCACAAATCTTTTTATTTTCATGCAAAATTCGTTTCATATTTACTTCTTTTGTTCTTAAGCATATATATTTGCTTTATGTATTGCTTTTGATTTATTTATTTTTATGTATCAAACTAATTGTGTAAGTAGATACGAGAATATAGAATAACGGAGAAAGGATAGATAATATATAACTTTAAACATATATTTTCAAGTTGCTAGTGTTATTCTAAATTAATATCTATGTATTTAATTAACATAGTTAAATACATATAATTATATTATACGCAACACACACAACACAAATATGTGATGAACACAAAAAAACATGAAAACAAAAAAGTAAAATGTAAATATTGAAGAAGAAAAGAGTAAAGAGAAGTTTATTAACACGAGTTGTAATTTATACTGATGAATATTTCTTGAGCAATGACGAAGTAAATATGTGACTTACACCATAAATTTTTTTTTTTTTTTTTAAGTTAAGGCATTGAAACTAAAACATTATGAAAATATTTAAGTTAAGGCATTGAAACTAAAACATTATGAAAATATTTATAAACTCATTTTATTTCTTTTTATATTTTGATATCCTTTATCATGCGTATGTGAACGTGTATCTCTTGTTTGTGCAGAGGAAATAATTGATGTCGGAGTAGATGATATCCCTGAACCTGAGAACCTCAGTACGAAGCCCGAGGATCTCAGCAGAACCGCGGATCGTCATCATAGTCCTCATCAACAGCAGCAGCAGCAGCAGCAACAACAACAGCAACAAGAGCAAGAATCACAGGATCGCGCGTCCAGCAGGATGCCACCTCCGATCTTTAAGACATCTCCACCTTTGACGATAGAACCGTCGTCGCCGACTCAACACGCGATGCACTACGTCCACCAGTTACATCACTATCACCATCACTATCCGACCAAGACTATCACGCCGCCAGCGGGAATCGCGCCGACCCATCATCCAATGGCGAAGAAAGCGCGAGTCGAAGTGATCCAGCATAATGACAATTCCACGACGACACCGACGGCGGGTGTGACGGCGACGTCGACTCCGTTGCATTTTATGACGAGCAAGGCACCCCTGGAGCCGTTGAATCTAAACCCTCCGGTAGAGCCGCTGGCTCATTATCCTACGCCAGCCTGGACTCGCACGGGTCCCCTGTATCCGTCGCATTATCTGCCGTACGCCCCTCCTACCTATCATCGCTATCCTGGAGCGGAATTGTATACGTCGTACCCGGTACCGGCGTATCCGCACTCCTCTCCGGAACATCATTCCTCAGTTTCGCCACCGCCCCACGGCGCACTGACGTGCTCGACGATCCAACGACCCATCGCCAGGAGCTATCCTCACTGGAGTAGCCCGGATCATTGTGGTTTGTCGCCTACGAGTTCCGTGGGTTCTGGTTCTCTACGATCTCCGCCTCCCGTTACGCCGGAGGATCTCTCTTCGCCCAGCAGTGAGAGTGGCAGGTCATCCGCTGGCAGCACGTCCGCTGGGAGCAGCACGATCGTGAAGATAGAGAAAGGCGGCCCGAGTACCAGTGCCAATACTTCCTCGAGCTCGACGTCGTCCAGGTACCCATGCACAGACTGCAACAAATCGTACTCGACATTCTCCGGCTTGTCGAAGCACCAGCAGTTTCATTGCGCGGCTGCTCAAGGCCAGGCGAAGAAGTCTTTCTCGTGCAAATTCTGCCAGAAGGTATACGTCAGTTTGGGCGCCCTGAAGATGCACATCCGAACGCACACGCTGCCCTGCAAGTGCCATACATGTGGCAAGGCATTCTCCAGGCCATGGTTGCTTCAGGGTCACATCCGGACGCATACCGGCGAGAAACCATTTCGATGTCAACACTGCAATCGCGCATTCGCCGACAGGAGCAACCTCAGGGCTCACCTGCAGACCCATAGCGATGTCAAAAAGTATTCCTGCGACAGGTGTAGCAAGACATTCAGCAGGATGTCGTTGCTTACGAAGCATCAGGATGGCGGCTGTCCCGGCGTGCCGGTGTCAGTCGGATATTCTTGCTAAAGTTTCGCGATATTCTTGCGTTTTTGTGAGCAAATGTCGCCCAGGATGTCGTTTATATTTCGCGGTCTCAAAGTGCCTTAGAATGCAGTACAAATATCGAGTAAGTGAAGTCCGGTATCTTGGTGATTCGCTCGCGAAATATCGATTAATCCTTTTCGCCATCAGACTGTATCCTTCTAAGAAAGTGATCTTTAATGATAGAGAAACTCTTTAAAGTTTTTATTTATAAAATATTCTCTGAAGAGTTGCATTTTTATTTGACGAAAAGAATTCTTTTTAACTTTAAATTAATTTTGACAAAAGAAATTAAATTTTATTATTTCGACTTTATAATAATGATGAAAAAGTTCACAATTGCATATTCGTTAAGTATATTGCTCGATTAAATCGAACGCGCATTATTAAGAAATTGACTCGTCAGACGATATCTCGAAAAGTTTCGTGAGAGTTGGTTTTGTTTGTTTATTGTCCTTCGCTGTAAATATCGATGTACAAGTGTACGACATACATTGATGCAAAATTTTTTTCTTTTAATTGCTGAATTTCAGTTAACTTGAAATTTTATTTGTAGAAGAAACTCTATGAATTTTTATCAGAAAATGATAAATGTACAAATATATGTTCCATAGAAGACGCTATTCAGAAAGATTATCAGTCGTTCGAGGTCTGTAATTAAGAGATAAATAGTTTTGCGACTCATTGTATGTGTACGATATAATAGTACTTAGAGATTATTTCGTCCTTTCGAGAGATCGGTCATGTCGCTCCGAGCATGTGAGAAATATCAAATACAAAAAGCTGCTCGATTACCGCGTGATGCGGTCCCGTGAAACTCCTGTGCCATTTTTTAATGTTTTATGCCATTTTTTTTCATTTGTTCTAATGCACTCGAGCACATAAAACGCGAACATAAGACGAAAAGATCGAGAAGTAGGACGATTTGCACATTTTCTTTTTTATTTTTGACTTATATTTCGTTTCTTTTATCGACGTGCGAGCGCATCCGAGCATTATTTGTATTCATGATTCGATCAAAACTTATTTATATTAATTACTCAATGATTCTAAGCAGGTTTGGTGGGAAAGAAAGACGAGAAATAAAAGCGGAACTTTATGAGAATATTTAATCAGATTAAATATTTTCGACAATAGGATGCATTTCAAGTAAGATCGACGTGAATTCGAGGAATAAAGTTTTGCAAAAGTTGTCACTCTGCGATGCACCAAAGTGCCATTCGCGAAGGCGCCACGTGCGCGTGGAATATCATTCGCGCGCTCGCACGCGTTAACACGCGAATTGTACATAGTTTAGAACTTAACGGTAACTTAGCGAGTAAAATACACACAATACGAGTATTATAATTTGCCTGCATTGGGCAACCGGATCGAAAAGAAGAATTTAACGCGTGAAAAAGCATGAGATCTCGGCTTCACATGTCGCATTATCATTTTCTGTATTTTGCATATCGCAAATTCACCGTAAGTTTCTTAAACAAACTAGTCATTGTATTATACGCAGAAGAACAAAAGACTCGTTATGATTATTGAAAAAGATATATATATAGAGAGAGAGAGAGAGAGAAAAAGAGAGGTAGATGTTAGAATGAGCCATCGTTGCATACTTTTACCTTTTATCATGCGTGTAATTAGCAGCATGGCTCAGACGAGTACCACTATTCCTAGTTTTGTAAAGAAAATAAACTCTACTATGAAATACAGATATTGCCTATGTATAGAGATATTTTATACGAAATAAATTACATGGATTTTAAATTTTAAACTTCCTCTTTTTTTCTATATCATGTGTTATTTTCTCTCCTTATTCTTTTTCTAAAGTCTATTAATCTTTATCCCCCTTCCCTCTTTTGTTTTCTTCACTTCATGTTTTCTCTAGCATAATAATTCAGTGTCCGTTTTCCTCAGAAATTCTCATGAATAAAATTTTACTTTACAAATTTTTTAACGATCATGTATTGTACAAGACATTAGTTATACGAAGACTTTTACATAACTGCCGAATTTTGATTATCCGTCATCGTTACAGCGTATACATTTAGATCGTATAAAAAGATGAGGCTCGCTGTCACAATGATATTTTGAAGACTCGCATAATCAGACATTTTATCTTTTAACATTTTCACATAAGTCTAATAATCTCTTGGAGCAATCAATTGGGTGTCGATCATTCGCTCGTTAGCGAACTCGAGAGTGAAACGAGCCTCATCGATAAAAATAATTGTCGGTGTTCGTGCTCAGTTCGAGACGAATTGATTGGATCCAATTCGAGACGTACGGTAAATCAAATATTTCATTGTTGCACGTGGACGTAATAACGCACGGAAGTGACAGAAAATATCGCCGCAACGCGTGCGACGAACAAATCTATCGGCAGTTTCGACAAACGGCGATACTTATATCGCATTCATCGACACATTCCCATAATAGTACTCATTGTTGTTTGCGCAATTGCGTTCCGCCGAGAACGATTGTTCGCGATTGTAAAAAGAGTTCTTTCCGCACAGTTCGTGTGCTGTATATCTTCCAAGTGCCGCCGTTTATACATTGCTTACAGCTCCGTCTGGGTGGTCCAGATCAATCATGCGACGAATAGGGAATTTCAGATCCTTTCATCGATTTATCGAAGTGAGATTTATCAATCTTCCAGATTGCTGAGCGCTTATGTGAAATGCTTTTCGAATCGAGACTGCAAATAAATTGAATACGTTAAGAAAGATTCGAGAATATATGATAAATCGTTAGAATAAAAAAATTTCATAATTCCTACAACAGCTGTACTTTTTTGCAATTATATATATACATTTATGAGAAAAGCATTTTTTACTGAAGTAAAAATTTGGATAGATACAGATTCGAAAATAATTTTATCGTACATCCAAATAATGAGTAAAATTTTTTTACATTTATAGCTTGAGCGTTCTATACAATTGTTTTGATAATCTAACAAAATTCAGATCTGTAGCTAAAAATATTTGGATACTTTAATAAAACTTTTTTTTTTACAATATATAATAATAATAATAATAACACTAGTTGCGTTAGACCGAAGTTAATCCACGTTGCTTCGCAATTCGCACGGCATTCAACGTGTTAATCGCGTCTTCCGGTTATGACAGAGCTCGCCTTCAGTATCTCACGAAGGCTAATCAACACGCGTTGACTCGCGTCAGTGTGAATACTCGCGGATTATCCGGCAGGTTATCCAATTTCTTCGCACAATAAAGAATCGAGAGACCGTTCCGTGTTGCAACCGCGCGTGAGAGTATCTTTTGCCGTTGCGTGTTGTGTTCATTCATACATTCACGAGCGTGTAACGCCAACACAAAGCTCTTTTAGCGGAGCAAACAACATATGGCGAGCAAACACGCGCGATGGAAACGCGACGTTCAATTCATTTCGCCCGGGCTAAATGGGCTACCTGCACCGTGTATTAAATCCCACGCGCCTTTAACATACGCGCCGCGCGCCGATTCAATCGGTGGTTCCAATCGAGCTTTTTGTTCGACCGACTCGCCCATATGGGTGCCCGAGATCGTGCCGCGATCTCGCTTGCCCTCCTGACATTGTCGCATTGGTAATATATGGGTCGACGGCAAACATGCGTTTAATCGACGTTTCACGAGTGAAATTCATCGATGCATGTGAGCAACACGTGTTTTATTTAATTACTTCAGTTATCATTTGAGGACAGGGTCTATTTCTTAAATTTTGCTACATTTCCTTGAGTAATTTCTTATAATTCATTACTGTTCATTGTATTCCTTACCTCAAAATGTGGCACTGAAAAGTTATATTAAATAAAAGCCATTATAATGCGTTTCTGTAAAAATTGACGCAATACAGCAATAGTTTATTACAGTGAAAGCAAAGTTAAATCTTCTTCCACCGTTCCTCTAATGTAGTAATCTGGATATTTAAAGAGGATTAACGGTGAATTATAGTCATAATGATGGGATAGCAAGCAGCTCGTGATGTACTCGCGGTTATTCAAATCTAAACGATTTACACTTGTGGTCTCGTTGTGTAGTTAGTCGCCATTATGACTATAATTATGTATGACGGCCCATTGAGCGACGTCCTTTCGCCCGGCACGACAGGTGCACGCGCCATTTTCGAGTACCGGCCCTCGCAGACCGCACTGTGTATACACACTCACGCAGAAAACGCTCGCGCAAGCAAGAAAGTGTAGAAGCAAACGCTACCTTGGCCGCTGGGCTTTTATGGCGACCGGTCCGATCGAACAGGTGCCTCGGAACGGATATACACACATAAAACGCTGGGGTAAAAGGTTCCATTCTTCGTTTGTATATGGCACCGAGGCTTTGCGCTATGCAAAGACTTTTGCGAGAGAAAAGCGACCGCGCGGTGACAAAAGGTCGCAACGTCGCGTCGTTTGGGCCGCGCCAAGAATGCGACGTCGGCTATGAGAATTTTTCGGCACAAAGCGAAGGGGGTTCGAGACCGACCATCGTCGACAAAAACTGTCCACTGTCGTAAGAGCCATAATTTCGGTCATCTAAAATTATGTTCGGATTAATAAAAAAAAGATCTACCGGTTAAAGGATTTTCAATTTGTCAGGATTTATTGACGTGTAAAGTATAAAAATGTCTTGATTTGAAACTTTTACAATATATACCCTGCATTTTACACAGTTAATAAAAATACTATTATTTTTTGTTTTTTTTAATCGCATTTATTTCGTATATTTGTTTATTATCTAAATGTAACATAAAGTCTAAATATTTTTGCATCATTCGACCTGTAACGGTCTCACGACCTTTGACACGATCGCTGTAGAACTATAAGTTGACCTCGTATAAAACTAATCGTTTCCTTCAGGATGTACAGCACACCTGATCAAGGAGCGAGTCTTTCATCGTTTCCCGGAAGACTCTCGTCTTCTTGCAATGCTTCGCTCCGTGGTGGTACGTGTCTCATTGTGTCAGCGAGGATCGCCACTGCTGGTTACACCAGGTGTGTT